GAGATTGGGGTGTGGTGCTTAGAAGGAAGACAAATTCATGTTAACCATGGCTGGCCCTGTTTCCTCATCTATAGAATGAATGGATCGGGTAGGGTACCCTCCGGGGTCCTTCCTGACTCTGACCAGCTCCTTGGCTCTGTTCCTGCAGGTAGTCGTCAACCTCCTGTCAAGCTCATCACCACAGCGGGTGAGATGATGGTCACCGTGCTAACCCACCTGGTCCAGGGGCCTGGCCTGGGAGGGAGCAGGCCTCAGGAAACTCAAGCCCTGACCCTGGCATGCCATGTGTCTCCAGAGTGTCTCAGCCTCCCAACGGGAGCAATACTGTTTTAGGGTTATGTTCTCAGCCTCTCAAGTCAGAGGGTTCTAGCACATATTGGCTGTGTGGCCTTGGGCAAATCACCTAAGCTTTCTGGACTCCAAGCTCAGGTCTGTAAGCGGTGGCATAAGGATCCCCCATGGGGGTGCTTGTGGGCAGTCACCGAGATGACACATGGGAAGCTCTTTTTTTTTTTTTTTTAAGGTGAGGATGAGGGTCAGGCAACTCCTTTGCACCATGACTCTTGCTCACATCCCCACCCCTCACCTTCCTGGCCGGGCGCCTCCCGGACTGACCAAGTCTCCTTCCCATCTCCTACAGAAAAAGGTGCAGTGCCTCAATATGGAAAGCTTCTCCTTCCAGCTGGGACTCTACCTCACCTCGCAGTTCCTCCAGGCCTCCAACACCATCGAGCTGGGGCAGCAGGGCTTTGTGCAGGTACTGGACTTGACCGCTCAGGCCTGCCAACTCCTGGGATTTCTCAGAGCCTTTCTTCCTGCCATCAATACCGAGAAGATGAGAATTTAACTTCCCGGAGGAAGGAGGGAGCCAGCATGGTGCATGATAGAGGGGAGAGATAGAAAAGGCAGAGCTCAGAGACACTGATTGGAATGTCACCTCCTCCTCCAGGCGGGCCCACTACTGTCCCACCATCAGGGCTCCGGGGCAGGAACTCTAGAACGAATCTAGCTTAGTTCATGAGAGCAGGTGGGGTGGAGGGTTAAGAGTAAGTGCCCATCCTTCATCCCCCTTCCCTACCCATGCAGGTGAGCGTGTCCCCGTCAATCCCCGAGCTCATGCTTCAGCTGGACAGCTGCCAGCTGGACTTGGGGCCTGAGGCAGAGACCGTGGAACTCATCCAGAGCCAGGCAGCCAAGGGCAGCTGTGTGAGCCTGCTGTCCCCGAGCCCTCATGGTGACGCGCGTTTCAGCTTCCTTCTCCGTGGCTACATGGTGCCCACACCCAAGGCTGGCACCCTCAGCTGCACCGTAGCTCTGCGTCCCAGGACTCGGTCCCTGGTGAGTGGGGCCTGGGACAGGTCCAGTATCAAGGGTGGGTTTCGGGTCTGGGGTTTCCAGGAAAGTGCTTGACATCCCGGGATGTGAGAGCAGCTGGTGAGGGGCAGAGCCACTTTGGGCCGACCTGTGTAATCTCAGTAAATAGGAGACCTCGGGGAAGAGGATGGCAGAGGACTCAACTTTCTGATTTTCTGCATTTACTCGTCACAGTGCTTCACCATCCACGCTTAGGCACTCAGCCCTGGACACACTCAGGTGGTCACCCCTAGGTCCTTGCACACAGAAGAGTTCCTGGTTGCATGAACCCAGAGAAGCCTCTGGGGTGGCTCCCAAGTGGGCCTCTCCCTCCAGCCACAGTGAGCCTGGGCCTCTGGGCGTTTCCAAGGCGTTCACAAGGGTAACGGGTACAGTGCAGAGTGCTCCCACAATCCTCATGGGAGTCGGGGACCTCCCAGGAACTCATAGGACACATTCCAGGAGTAGCCAAGGATTGTCTGCCAGGACTTGCTCAAAGGCTCCCAGCTAGAAGGTGGTCAGATGGGATTCAAAGCCAAGGCCCTAGCGTCGGCTGTGACGGTGTCAGGGCCAGGGAGTAAACCTGGAAGCTTCCTCCTGAAGGCTGTGCCACACACCACTCTCTCTTGCTTCCCCAGGAAGTCCACCGGACTGTCTCCATGCGCCTGAACATCGTCAGCCCTGGCATGCCTGGTGAGCTCTCTCCGGGTTTCTCTGGGGTTCCAGTCGCTGAGGTCAGAGTGGGGCATCACGGATGGCCCGGAGGGATGGGGCCTAGACACACAGCAGGGAGGACCCCAGAGAGAGCAGCCTTGGGAGGAGGGCAGGAGAAGGGCTTCCCAGCAGCCCAGAGTAGGGTCCATAGCTGTGTCGACTTGATGGCGAGCCTTTGCATGTGGCTGCCCTGGGGACAGGGTTCTAGACCTTTGGCTCTTCTCCATCCCCATGGCTGCTGGTTGACCTTATTGGGGGGATGGCGCCTCCAGGGTCAGGCCTGGATGGGACGGAAGGCACCATGGGGTGGTGCTGGCCTCACCTTTCTTAAGGCCCCCGGTGTAGAGGATGCCTTCAGCCTAGAACCCTCCAGCCTCTGTCAGTTCCCGCTGGGCCCTCGCCCCCAGCTGGCAGAAGATTCCAACACTGGGGACAGAGGTGGGGGTACCGCCCTCTTTACCACCCAACCTGGGCCATTCCCAACTCCCAACCAGGAGAGCAGGGCTAATAACCCCATCACATGGATAAGAACTCAGAGGTCCAAGGGGAGACCGCCTGGCCCATAGTCACATGGGAGTCAGGAGTGTGGAAGGAAAGAGGCTTGGGAAAACCCAAGAGCAAAGCTGAAGAGTCCTCAGAGGTGCTCTGGTCGGTTCCTACCCTGGTATAAGGCTCAGAGAGGGACAGGGACTAACCTAAGGTCACATAGCGAGGCAGGGCAGGCTCCGGACTCCCAGGCCCCACTCACTTTGCTCAGATTATACCACGGATTTTCCCTAAAATGCATCTCCATTAGCCTTGTGAGGCAGAGGTACGGCCCAGGAGGCCTGGTTAGGCCCTCTAGGTAGACGACTTGGGTGCAACGCATGGGTGTGATGAACCCGTTTGCTAGATGAGAAGACTGAGGTTCAGAGAAGTCAGGGCAGTGGCTGAGATGGGACTCCCACCAAAAGCTGTGCTCCTGGCCAGCACAGCAGGGTAGGGGACCCGGGAGGAGGCAGAAGTGCTGACCACAGCCGTTCCTCCCTTGGCTGCACAGGCAAAACCCTTGTCCTGCCCGCCGTGCTGGGCATCACTTTTGGCGCCTTCCTCATCGGGGCCCTGCTCACCGCCGCACTCTGGTACATCTACTCGCACACGCGTGAGTATCCCAGGCCCCCACCATGAGTGCTCAGGACCCCTCTACCACCACCTGGGGGAGCCTGGCAAAGCCTCTGGGGGAGTGGGGAGCCCTGGCTGGGGCCCTGACCTCCGCCCCTGCCCCCAGGTCCCCCCAGCAAGCGGGAGCCCGTGGTGGCGGTGGCTGCCCCGGCCTCCTCAGAGAGCAGTAGCACCAACCACAGCATCGGGAGCACCCAGAGCACCCCCTGCTCCACCAGCAGCATGGCGTAGCATCCAGCCCGGAGCCCTGGGGACCACCCAGCCAGCCCTTGCCCAGCAGGAGAGACTAAGCAGCCACCAGCTGGAAACCACTGGTCATGAACTCACCCCAGGACCCCAACCCTTCTGCTCGACCAAGGATGGACCATGCCCTCTGCACCCGCCCCTCCTGCCTCCCTCTCAGAGGCCTGCTGCCAGCGGGGGCACCAGCTTGGAACACCTTGGGGTCCCCCCATGCCACCATGCAGAACCTTCAAACTCAGTGGGCCTGGGGTATGGCTGCCCAGGACCACGGAAAGATAGACCACTACCTTGTATGTCCACATTGTTGTAGAAACCCAAGTCCCTGTTATTTTAACCCGGATCCTGCACTTGGTGACCTGGGCTGGGCAGGAAGTGAGAACTCAAAACAGACTCTGCCCAGCCCACCCAGGCCGAAAGCACCTCCTCCATGGCCAGCCCAGAACTGCCAGGATCTGATCCCAGCAGCATCCTTACCTGGACTGGCACAACTTTGGGAGGGGAGGACTCAAGCCTAGGGATGCCCACCCTGGGGATGGGGTTGCCTAGCTCCTTCCTGCAACTGTCACATGGAGACCCCCTCCGTCCTAGCCCATCAGGAAGGCAGCAGATGGGAGTGGCCAGGCTGCCTGACCTGGGCCCACCCCTATATACTCACCACCAATAAATCAGACCATGAAACGAGTGCTGGGCTGGGCTGGGAGAATGGGAGGAGGACCTAAATTGGAGGTGTGGGGGGAGAGCCCTGGGTTCAAATTCTGGACCTGCCACTTATTGGCTGTGTGACTGTGGGCAGATCCCATGCTTCTTTTTTTTTTTTAAAGATTATTATTATTATTGTTTTTTTTATTGGGGAATTGAGGGGATGGGAACAGCACTGGGGAATTGGGGGAAGGGGAACAGACAAGTTGCTGTCATTTTGTTCTTCAGTCTAGTTTGGAGGACGTTGCTTCACTGGCCCAAGTTGGCACCATCATTGCGCTCTTCCCGGGCGAGGCAGATCAGTCGCCAGCTTCTGGACAGGCACTCATTGCGGCTGCTGGCCGCTCATGCTGGCTGCTGGCTACATACAGTAGCCCATTGCTGGCGACTCCCGGCAGCCCAGCTCCAGGTCGAGCTGTTGTTCAGCATCTTAGCTGTGGAAGGCAGTGTCACTGACCCTCATATGTGGGATCCAAACTGGGGCACTCTGGCGTCCTAAGCCAGTTCTTAACCATCGCGCCACTCGGCCGGGCCCCCATGCTTCTTTAAGCCAACCAGTTTCCTCATCTGTAAAATAGGTATGAGAATTCTCAATCATAAGGTCTCTGCGAGGTCTGCAAAGCAGTGCCTGGCATATGGTCAACAGACATCAGGCTAGTCTTCACATTTCACAGACAGGCCACTTGAGGCTCAGAGGGAAGGAGGGACTTGTCACAGGTCACACAGCCCAGGCCCTACAAGATCCAGTTCTGTACCACTGTAGCCCCCACCCCCCGATTGTCTGCTGAGGGAGCTAGAGGTCAAGCGTTAAATCAAACATTTTGCTATCGTTTTTAAAAAAGTTAAAGGCTTTAATTCAATCCAGCCACCCTTTGTCCACAGGCAGGGACCCTCTCCTTTCCCAGAAGGCACTGAGAGGAGGAAATCGGTTGATCTGCACCTGGCAGGACCCCAGGCCTGGCCTGGCAGCTCACACAATAAGCTGGGCCTGAGGCAGGAAGCAGGTGGGTGGGAGGGAGATGGACTGGCTTGTCAGGCCTACTGCCGCGGCAGGAGAACTGGGAAGTCCCCTGGCTGTCTCAGCAGGAAGGAGAGGGCAAGGGCACCATAGCCTCAGGACAGAGGATGTCTGATCTCAGCCTTCCACCCACCAGCCCTCCATTTCACTGCCCAGAGCTCAGGTCCCTGGGCCAGTCTAGACAGAATCAGCAAAGCAGACAACAAAAGGCACCTAATATAGGAGTTCATGAAGAGATGCAGGGCAGGTGTGGGAGGCCCCACCTCCAACCCCACTGCCTTGGCTACTGAGACAGGGAGGGCTCCAGCAGCTTCAGGACACCGCCCACCAGGTGCAGGCTTCCTGTGACCAGCACGTGGATGGCAGCAGCCTCACGGAGTATGCTGGCCCCGCTGCCTGCCACAGGATGGGCTAGGAGGCCCTGCGGGGGACTGGGTGGCTGAAAGACTGGGTCCCGGCCTTGGGTGATCCACTGCAAGGCATGGGAGATGCAGCTGAAGACAAGGGAGCCAGTGCTGCGGGTATGGGTTGGGCAGGGTGCCAGCCGCAGGGAGGCGGGCCCACCAGGCTCTGGGCTGGGGGTGCTCCAGAGGCCCGGGCTGGCCTGCTTCTCATCCAGGTGGTTCCAGTGCTGCTGGTGTTCCAGGCAGCGGAGCAGCACCTGGTCCAGTGTCACTGTGAAGTTCTGCTGGTCTGCAGGACACAGGGAAAGGCATATCAGCGCGGGGGACGGGACTGGAGGTGGGAGAAGGGCCGGCACACTGAGCGCCTGCTTAATGCCAGGCCCTTTCCACGTATCATCAGTCCCCACAGTGGACGCTACGAGGAAACTGAGGCTCAGAAAGGTTCAGTGACTTGCCCGCTATCACAAAGCTGGTGAGAAGCAGAGCCAGGCAGTTTAGCTTCAGAGCTAGGGCTTTTGTCCACTGAGCACATCTCCCTACCCTGGCCTCAGTGCCATCATCTGTAAAATAAACAGGGTCCATCACTAGGTGGGCATAAGCATGTCTAGAAATGCAGATCCCTGAACTCCCCCACAGTCTAATGTGGGTCCTGAGGAGCTCTATTTTTTACAATACTATTTAAATTTTTTTGAATGTGACCCACAGAATCTTCATAAAACAGGACCTGCCCTTACTTTGTGCAAGGCACACAGATTTTTTCCATTTTATTTAAAATAAAAAATGCTGGTTGAGACCCACTAAACTGATTTCAAGAACCATAAGTAGGTTGTAACCTTGCATTTTGAAAAATGTTTTCCCCAGTAATTCTTTTTCAGTATTGCAGTCATATGCAAAATTCAAAATGTACCAAAGGATATTTATATAATAAAACAAATCTAGCTCCTACTTCAGACTTCTAGTTCAGAAGCCTCCACTCTCACCAACAGAGCAGTCTATCTCAAGGCCCTCCACCCCCCGCCCACCTTCAGGGACCAGGCTCGTCACCTCTCACCTGCGTTGTCAGTGGATGACACCTCTGTCAGGTTAGGGCAGAAAGCAGCATAGTCAAACTGGCAGGGCTACAAGGCCAAGGGGTAAAGCTTGGTGTCAGAGCCCTGACAGGATGCCCCAGTCCCACCCCAACTTCCACACAGCACCCCCAGAACCCACATACACATCCCCATCTGTGAAGATGCTCCCCCCACACCCCAGCTGAACTGCAGTGATGCTGCATAACCCAGCCCCAGCACTTCAGTGGTCCTCCGTCTGTGTCCTGCCTGGCCACTGTACAGATAGGGAAACAGAGGCTGGGGGGGGGGGTACAGCTTAAGGTCACCCAGCTATTGAGCAGTCTCCAAATTCAGGGCTGGGAAAGGCTTTCTGCACAAAAGCGGAAGGTTCTGGATATGAAGAACAGCCTCAGCCTCCTGTGAAATGGGAAATGACCCTAGGAACCACTTCAGCCCTGACAGCCTAGGGCAGCCTCTGTTCCCTGAGCAGAGAAGGGCCCCTACATGCTTTAGCCCAGTGACTCCTTAAACCAAACTTGAGAAGCAGGTATCCTTAATAGCAAAATGAGGCTCAGGAAAATGCCATCTCTTGTCCAGGGTCATATGCTAGTGGTTGAAGGGACATGACAAGTGAGTCCAGAGCCTGTATCTTACTGGTTTTTCCTTTAACCCTGGGCTTGAGTCTGACCACGGAGGAGAATGAAAGCAGTGACCAGCGACTAGACTTCCTCATGTGCCGGAGGCTTTTACATTTAATCCTCAGTACAATTCAGAGGAGGGGGAAATTCGACAATTGAGGAAACGGAGGCTCAGGGATGAAGGTATCGCGGGGGGGGGGGGGGGGGGGGGGAGATGGTCACACAGCCAGAACCAGGGCTGGGCTGCCTGTTGCCCACCCACCAACCAGTCTCACCTGCAGCAGCTTCAGCAGGGCCTCGGGATCCCGGTCCCCGGTAGAGTTGAAGAGCAAGACACGCACCTCTGGCCCGCTGCGAGAGGGGTGAGGAGGGGATAAGAGAGCCACGCCTCCCACCCCTTCTCAGCCCCCTTCTCAGCGGGGCCCCGCTCCATCCTTCTCCGAGTCCCCGCCCCTCCCTCTGGCCCAGTCCCACCGCGACCCCACCCTTTCCAGCACTCACCTGCCCCGCCTCTCGCCGAGGAGTAGCGCCTGGCGGAACCAGCGCACGCAGGCCTGCATGCTGCTGGAGGTATGCGCGCCGTCCAGGTACCAGGTGAGGTGCCCGCGTCGCAGCACCTGCGAACGGCCCAGCCACTCGGTGTCCCGAAGCGCTGGGGGAGAGGGGCAAGGCAGCTCTTCAGCGGATACTGCAGGGCAGCCCTCCCACATCCTCTCCCACCCCAGTCCTCAACTCACACACACAGCCCGAGGGAAGGGCCCCCATCTGAGCGTTCTGAGGAGCCAGCTGCTCAGCCCAGGATCAGCCAATCACCGGGATCAGCTCTTGGGCTGCCTCATCTGGTGGAATCTTCCAGGCAGCCCTGCATTGGGCTACTATCACTTAAGTCCCATGTTACAGGCAGAGAGCCCTTAGCTTAGAGAAACTAGGTCACAGAGCCAGTAAATCCTGGGGCTGGAACGTGATCCAAGATCTACCAGGCTCCGGGGCTGTGACACAGCCCTGATGCAGGGCCTGGCACATGGTGGACACACTGGTACCATTTGCTGAAGGGGTTTAACAGCCATGAGCATCTACTATGTGCTGAAAGCTTAGAGGGAAGCAAGAAGCCTAACAGTATCACCATTGTCAAGAACCTCATGGTCTTATGATGATGATGATAAAGATGATGGTAATGGCAGCTACCACTGGCTAGGCACTTTCTCCCATACCTGCCAGGCTCTGGGCTCAGCCCCTTAGTGATGTCACCTCACAGTGGGTTCTATAATCATCTCATTTGGCAGGTGGGGAAACTGAGGCTCATAGAGAGTTCATGAACTCAAAGTCAGGGAAACTTACTGACTTCAGAGTCCTTTCTCTTGGGCACCATCTCAAATTGCCCCCGCATCCCAAATAGGACACCGAAAGAATTGTCTGAAGGGATCTAGCTGGACAAGGTCCAACTCACCAAGCCGCATGTGAGATGTGGGCTGGAACACAGGCGCCAGAGGCAGCCGCTGCAGCCGCTGCAGGAGGCTCGGCCTGGAGGCCTCCAGCTCCCTGATGCCTGGGGGGCAAGGGAGGACTGTGTGGGACTGAGTGTGCTCAGAACCCTCAGGGGCAGGCTTCATGTGTCCCCTGCCCACTTACCTTGGTGATCCTTCTGCTGCAGCCAGCAGCGGGCCAGCTGCAAGGCCAAGGCAGCATTGGACCGCTGATGCTCTCCTTCCAGGCCAAGGGTCAGCGGTGGCCCCCCTTCCTCCAGGGCTTCCAGGGGCGGGCACAGGTACAGGGGACACTACAGAGGAGTCAGGGGAGCTGCAGTTGCCACCTTGGCCAGAAGACCCTTCCTGATGTCATCAGCCCTTCCATCTTTCCCCACCAACCAGAACCCATCAAGCCCTGCTCCTAGAACCCGTTGGACGAGCAGCTGGCCTTCACTGCACAGATGAGCAAACTCAGGCCCAAAAGGATAAAGTGGCTCCCCAGCACTTCCAATCAGACTCACTGAGACCTGCTCGGCGCGCTCCTTCAGCACTGCCAGGGGACCGTCAAGCTGAGGTACAGTGAAGGCGGGGACGCCATGCTGTGGAGGACATGGAGAGTAAGTCAGGGGCTGCCGAGGGTCCTCCACCTCCATCTCTGGCCCCCACATCCCTGGGTCTGGGCAGCCCATTTAGCCTCCCCCTATAGGACCTATGGGAACCCCTCGATGGGAAGACTAAGGCCAGAGAAGGGGCTCAACTTGCTCCAGTCACGCAAAGAGCTGAGACAAGAACCCAGACCCCCTAATGCCCAAAACCTTGTCCTGAATCAGGATACAAAAGACCCTGCCCCAGCCCCACTTCCCTGAGCTTAAGGACCAGGATGAGGCTGTCCATGTAACTCCCCTCCCTGGGGCTGCCTGGTTACCTTGAAGATGCCCCCTTTCTGCCATGCGATCTCCTCCACTGTGTCCCCTAAGAGGCTAGTGTGGTCGATGCCAAGAGACGAGACCCCACATACCACAGGCTTCCTGCAGGACACAAAAGGGTCATGATGCCCCTGCCCTGGGCCACCTGGGCTCCTGGCCACCATCTGTCTCCCCAAGCAGCTGCCCTCACCTGATGATGTTAGTGCAGTCGTAAGCCCCACCGATACCCACTTCCACCACTGCCAGATCCACCTGCAGAGGACCAGAGGGCATGGCAAGGGGTATAGGGGCACCTGGATGCCACATGGGAGCCCCCAACCTGCTAAGATTCCCCTCCCCAAGGCCTCAGACACAGGGTTCTAGGGAGTGGGCGTGCACCTTCTCTTGGAGGAAGACGTGGAAGGCCATGAGCGTGAGGAAACGGAAGTAGGCGGGCATGGAGACACAGCTCTTGCTATCCTGTGGAGAGGAATACATCAGAGCCTGGGGCCCCTGCAGCCTCTGCTCTGGGGAGATGGGATCCTGGGATGTACAGTGCCTTCCAGGTCCTTCCACCAACTCCAGTGCCCCTACCCTGCCCACCCACTGGCCCTCCTGCATGGGCACCTTGGTCTCCTCCAGCCGGTGATAGAGGCGCCAGAAGTGTTTGGTGAAGAGCTCGGGGCTGATGGGCTGCCCATTGATGCGGATCCGTTCACGCACCTGCACCAGGTGGGGAGAGCTACCGGGAGACCTGAGGTCATCAGGACTCCCTGCCCAAGCCCACCAGGTCTTCCCCCACTCCCCAGTCAGACCTGTCTTTTGTTAACACAAATCTGACTTTGTCACTGTCCTGCTGAAAACCCTTCTGAGGCTTCCCCCTGCCCTCAAGAGTCCTAGCTCCTCATGTTAGCCTCCCAGGCCCTTGTGGGCCTGATGCCACCGGCCTCATTTCTCCTAAGTCCCTTGGTAGCTGCCTGCGCCCCAGACCTTCTGTGCATTCCCAGCTGGCTCACGAGGCCACAAGGGCTCAAGTCGACGGCTGGATTTTTATCCAAAAACTTATTTTAGAAAAGAGGTTGTTGACTTATATTTGAATCCTCAAAGCCCTCTCATATTATGAGTCCTCTCAATTTCTTTATTTTGAACAAACAACTATTTAGTGAAAAATATTGGCCTGAAATGACCTCAGTCAGCTGGTTTCAGATGCTTAGAGGTCACTTGAAGGAATTGGTTACATATAAAAGAGGCAAAAGTCTTAAATGCCCCAACTCCAAGGACCAAATCCTGAGCAATTAACCACCAGGCCAATCCAACTGCTTTACATGTGACTGGTGAAGGAGAGGCAAGTGCAGCCCAGGGAAGTGGGACTCCCGTATACCCCTGCCTCCCTCCCCCCCATAGTCTGGTGTGAGTCTAGATGCCTGAGTGTCACCAAGAGTGGGTGCTGCCTTGAGAACAAAGCAGCAGGAGAGGCTCGCAGACGGGAAGGGCGCCCCTCTGCTGCCCATTCAGGATGCAGCATGGACTCATAAACTACGCTTATCATTTAAGCTGTTACGAGCCATGTTTCCTGCTCCTTACTGCAAAGACATCCTAATCGATAAATATTTGTATTTGTGATTTAAAAATTGTATATGGAATTTAAGTTAATAAAAAGACATGTGACTATTCTAGATACATATTTAGTTTGTACACATTAAAATTTTTTTTCATTATGAAAACTAAAGACTGCCAATGTGGTGAGTGCTAGTTGAATGTTTAATGAATAAACATTGGGCAGAAAGACAAGCAGCTCAGTTCCTGGAGCTGACCCTGGCCCTGAGGTGCTGGCTGGTTCCACAGCCGCCCAGAGAGCTAGGAGACACCATATCCCTCCGCACCTTAGTACCTAAAGAATCCGGTTTTCAGGCCATAGCTTCGGAGGATACGTTCAGTGAAGGCACAGGTGGAGCCCTAGAAAGAAAAGGTCTTGTCTGGGCAGTCCCCTTCCTCCCCCTAAAGTGGACACCCTCCTCCTGGGTCCCATCCTTCACCTTCCCCTTGGTCCCTGTGATATGGATGATGTTCAGCCGGTCCAAGTCCTCCACCTGGGACAGACAGACAAGGAACCCATCTCAGCAACAGGACTCACAGACAGATAGGAGTGAGGGTGTGGTCACAGGCCCTGCCCACTTTACCTGCAGCCCACTCCGTGCCAAGTACAGCTTCATGGCTTCCAGTTTTGTCTGGGGGTCATCCTGCTGTCTCTTCACCTGCTCCAGGTAGTTGGCATTGGTCTGCAGGGTGTTGAGTGTGCGTACAGCATCCTGGCAACCACAGTCCCCAGACAGCAGGTTAAGGCTCGCTAGGGGTCCAGACCATAGGGACAGGGGAACCCAGTGCACCAGTGGCCAGGCCAAGGCACCATCCTGTGTGCCAGCCCTGTTGCCCCAGCATAGAGATCAGGCCACTGGTAAGAGAGAAGTGGCATCAATCCTGCTCAGGCAGAGACGGTAGCCTAGGGCAGTTCAGCCCCACCCAGGGAGTGCCAGGCTAAGCAGATAGCATGACTAACGGGACTAGCCTTGCTTCCTCTATGGGGTCCCCATGCTTCACCTCTGGGGCCTCTGCCCTCCTTCCCTCCAATGGGTCCACCACTGTATTGGACCCCTACTGGGGTAGGGCCAGAACCACAGAAGGCTGGGGTCTTAGAACTGGAGGAATTACAATGAGGAATTCCTTAAGACTTCCATGCCCAACTTTGATGATTTGGGATTCCACCTTTTGACCCAGAGTAGAGCTGCTTGAAGCCACCAAATGGGGAAGAGGAGGGTGGAAGGAGGGGTGTGCCCGTGGTCACCCAACCAGGAAGGCAGGTAGGTCAGCTTCAGGAGAGTCCACATGGCGGGTGAGAGTGAGTTTGCTTTTATTTCCCCTCAGGGCCTCACAGGCTGTTTGGAGGACCCACCCCCAAGCTAGCATCAGGTTCTGGTCTCTGGCAACTGGCCCCTGGCATAAAGCCAAGAGGAAGTTTCCCGTTTTCCAGATTTCCACCCCACCCATCTCCACCTCATTGTCAGAATCCTGTCTGCCTCCCAGTCCCAGGCACTTGGATCTCCATCTCCTGAATCTTGGTGACTACAACCCCAGGTCTAGACTCTTCGATCTCTCAAGTCTGAATTCCTGAAGCCCTTTCCTCTCCCACACCTCAACTGCTGGTTCAAACTTCCGAGACTCGGAAACCCTAGAACCCCAGCTGAGCCACTGAACCTCTTGGTCCTACCCCCAGGCGCCCCTTCCAGCTCTCATCGCGGGACACCTCAGCCTCAAAATTCCCAGATTCGGCGGCACAGGCCCAACTTCCTAGTCCCGGTTCCCACCCCGGACTCCAGGATGTCCCAGCCCAGTGTCAGGCTTCTTGGTAACCCTCCTCGGCTGGCGGAGCCGGATGCTGTGTGGCTCAGGCCTGGTCCGCATGTCAACGCCCGACCGCAGGACTGCTAGATACCTGATACTCCATGCCTGGCTTCAGCGGCGCGGGCCTAGCGCTCAACTCTCGCCGCGCGGCGGTCCGGGTCGTTGCACCGCACGGGGAAACCGCTGCCAGGAAGAGAGCCGCACGCAGGTGGCTGCGTGCCCGGGACATAGTCGCGGCGCCGGCGACCTCACGCTGGGCCCAGCCCTGAGACTGCCTTACCCGCTTCCCTTGCCCCGCCCCCGACACGCCCCCACCGTTCACCAATCAACGCCGCCCAAGGAGCCCACTGGCACCAATAAGAATCCGCGGATTCCATCCTTGTGAGGGGCAGGATCCCGGGCGGAGGGCTTCGCCCATAATTATGAGGGGCAAACTCCCCTGGCGGCCTCTGCCTTAGATGAACCTGCACCCATTTTGTCATCCTCCTCCCAAGGATCTGGCCACACACCCCAAAATAGCACCAGTCAGTAGCCCTCAGCCTCTGCTCCAGGCAGGAACCAGCTCTGAGCTGGTTGGATGGAATGACCTTATGGAGGTCGCTGAACACCGGCACCTAATGTCCCAATTTAACGCAGAGACCTCAGGCTGCGGGGATGCGGCTTCTGCCCTCACGAATCTGACACACCGATTGCGGGGCAATAGACCAAAAAAACGGCACCTTCGCTATTGGGACCCCTAGCCGACCCTGGGCAGCCTGGGAAGTCTCCCTGGAAGAAAGCAACATACTGTCTGAGACCGGGGGTAGGGGGAGTCAGCGAGGTGGCAGGGTGGGCAGGGAACAATGTGTGAAAAGCAAACTATTGGGGAGAGAGAACTAGGCACCCAAAAGAACTGCCCTTCCAACCGGTTGGGCCTAATTGCCCCAGAGTGCCAGGATACTAGATCCAGCAGGACCTTGTAGCCTGATAAAATTGGATTAAATTTGGATGACAATAAAATGATTTTAAAAGAGATGACAAGATCAGATTTCCACTTGAAGATTTGCGCATGCAGGAGCACCTTTCTATTTTCTAGATGGGATGCTACCCAATTCATGAATCATTCAATAAGCCAATTAGATCTTAAAAAGAAAAGAAAAGACTGGATCGAAGCGTCATCTGGAGAGGAGGTAGTAGGACAAACTCCATTTGTCTTGGAGTTTTCAGAACTTTTTCCTATTACCTTCTTGGCTCCAACAGCTAGAGTGGAAAACGTAGTTTGGAAATTCCTTTTTTACAGCTGGGGCCCAGAGAGGGGGAAAGGGGTGCTGCAAACATCCCTCCAGGGAAGTTTCTACAGATGAAAGGCAATCCTTCAAAAAACTGATTGGGATTTCAGTACCTCCCTCCCTCTTTCCTGCAGGGGTTGGGGGTAAATATTTATCAGAGGTTGTTTGATTTTGAAATAAACACATGATGTGTTGGGAAGATTCCTTCCTTGGCTGGCTGGACTTCTGCTGTTCACATCAACTGCAGGGCGCCCCCATCTGGCCCCATGGGAGATAAAGAGGTCCCTTTCCTCTCTTGGTTTCTGTTGTTTTTGTTTTTGTTTTTCCCTCCCTCCTCCGGTTTCTGTTTTTTTAATCATTGAAACTTTCTCTCTCTCTAGACATGTATATAATTTAATAACCATATAAAAATGATCATAACGAAGCTCTAAAAGTTTTTCTTTTGCCACCTCCGACCCCTCCCCTCCCCNAATTACTCTTGGCACATTTTACAGCCATGCCATCAACGTTCAATTCTGGAAGCCAAGTACCCTAACTCGACTCACCCCCTCCCCGCCCCCACCTTCCTCCTTTGGAAATCCTTGACAACCAACAATGTGTCCCATAGTTTTCTATGCTCATGAAATCACAGACACACCTAGACATCTATAAGGCCTTGTCAATGCAGATGACAATATTTTCTGCATCTTAACCTTACTCAACAAAAAGCTTGCGGGGATTCCTCTAAGTCAGTGACTTAGCAAATAGTTAAGTAGCGATTCTCTGGGCCAGGCACTGCTCTAAATACTTTCTACATAGTCACTTATTTCATTATCACAATCCTAGGAAACAGGTATTAGTATTATCATCCTTATTTCACAGGTGAGGAAACTGAGGCACAAGGGAATAAAAGCATATGCCCAAATTACAAAATCAAGATTCGAACTCTGGCCCTGGAGTCCTTATTCCTACCTTCTGTGCCTCCTTCCTGCACTCCCACTGGGAGGGGGGCACTGCTAACTCAGTGGCAGTGGCAGCAACATAATGCACCCTCCACTTGCCTGCTGAAGGGCGTTCACATAACCTTCAGTGCTTTTCTGCTGTGGATGGTGTGCACACCAGGGGCCCTCATTCCTGCGGTGAGATTGCATCGAGTGGGAGGGCTGGGTCCTTTCACCCAATGCAGTAACCTCCCATCTCACCAGCTGTGTGTGAGGAGGGCACCCCTTTCCCAGGATGTCCCCCAGACTGCTGGGTGTAGAGTATCTTCTTATTGTCACTCTGCATTTCCCCGGCTGCAGTGAACTTGAACAACTTTCCATGCATTTATTTCAATAAACTGCCTCACGCACCTTTGGCTCTTTTCTCTAATGTCTGTTTATCCCCTTCTTGTCAAATATAAAAGCATGTTGGGTATCACAGATATTACTCCTCAGTTCTGTCCTCTACACAGCAAGATTTTTTTTTTTTTTACCTCAATCGACTAGTGGCAGCCTCCATTGATTCATATGTCACTGGGGGCATTGGAGCTCTGGGACATTCCTCCAAGAATGAGGTCCCAGGGAAAATGACATCCCAGGAGGAGTGTAAGGTAAAAAATCCCACTTGCCTATGTTCCTGAATTTTAACTGATTTCTTTCCCTTTGCCCAGGGCAAAGCCACCTGTGTCAACCTTTCCCTCTGACCAGTGACAAGCCATCTCTAGAGCGTGGCGGATTTGCAGTCTGGCAAATGTTGAACTTCAGCCCTCAGCTCCAGTCAGAAACAGAAGTAGATGTACAGACACGGAAGGCAAGAAACAGCACAGAAAATTTCAGGGATCCTATCTGGTGTCATCCCAGTTGTGCAGGAAATTGTAAGTGGTGACTGAGGCCTTGGCAAAGTCACCCAGTGGCCTTGGGTAGGTCACATGTTCAGTGGTCTCCAAGGACAATTTTCATAGCCAGTCATGCTGGGAAATTTGTAGGGATAAAAATTTAAGCGGGAGGGGGTAGACTAGATTATCTTCTTCTCATTGTTAAAACTTTTCCTTACTCTTAACTTTATTTTAAATTCTAATATTTTTGGATGGATAATACATTATATCATTCAAATAGTCAGAGGTACATAAAGATGTACAGTGAAAAGCTCACCTCCCACCCCAGGTCCCAGCATCCTAATTTCCCCTCCCCCCAAAGCAATCAAAGCTATGTTTCCTTTGACTTTTCCAGAGATATTTTATGCATGTACAAGCAAATACAAATACATACATAGATTTCCCTTTTCTAGTCAGATAGAAGACCATATACGTCAGTCTGCATTGTATTTTTTCCACATGCCTTTATATCCTACACTTTATTCTGGACAGTGTCAGTACATAAGAGCTTCCCCACTGGCTAATTTTTTTTTTCTGAGCTGCACAGTGCTCCTTGGTGTGGAAGTACCATTGTGTATTTGGCCAGTCTCCTACTGATGGACATTTAGCTTTCTGGTATTTTGCCATCATAAGCAATGTGGCAGTGGGTAACATCTTACCCTTATCATTTCTTCCATGTGTGAGTGAATATATCTGATGGATTAATTCCAAGTACAACTGCTGGGTTGAAGGGGGTTTGCATTTGACAGTTTCATACCGATCACCAAATTGTCCTCCAGAGGGGTGAGGCTGGTTTCCACCCCCATGT